TGGACATGATACTGTGAAGATACCAGTATGGCACTACCTGGGGCCACCTTGTGACTCTAACAAAGGGGGACTTAGGGCGAGAAAGAAAGAGACTTCTAAAAGAAAGAAAAAAGAAAGAGATGATATCATTCACACCCGGGATCCTTGGCAATCACAGTGTGGTTGGCAGTTATGCAGCTGCACTGGCATAATTTAGAAGCTCTTAAAACTACCCAACCCAGATCTCCTAAATGAGAATATGCATCTAATCAATGGTTTGTAGCCTTCATACTCTAGAGAATCCTGACTCATCTATACTCTATAACCCATAATGTCATTCAGGCAAGTAGCATGTTTGCTTACAAGTTCTCATCAATGCAGATTACTGATAGTAATATAGAGTAACCACATCATAAGTTGGGTAGAGAGCACTGTGCTACTCAGTTCCAGTAGGATTCATCTACTTTGTACATTTCAGGTTGACCTTGCAGCCCACTGACTGCCTTGGAGAGCCCAGTGCTGAATGATCCCCACCACCCTTGGAAAAGAGGAGATGAGAAGATAGGTGTCCATCTTAGGCATGGGGTGGGGACCAGGAAGGAGCCGAGAAGGCAGAAAGGTGGCAAAACTGACCGTTTGGAAGGAGCTTCCAAACCTGGCTGCTTCCAGGAGCTCCTGAACTCAGGAGCTTCCAAACCTGGCTGCACACTGAATCAGTTGGGGAGCTTCTACAAATAACGGGTGCTCAGCATCCACCTCTGGCAATCCTCCTGTGATCTGCCAGGGTTGGAGTCCCAACAACAGTAATTTTTTAACTGATTATGCATATTCATGGGGTACAAAGCTGACCATCACCACCTGTGCCCAAGATGTGATGAACAGATTTTTTTAACTGATTATGCATATTCATGGGGTACAAAGCTGACCATCACCACCTGTGCCCAAGACGTGATGAACAGATCAATATTATCAGCATGCCCAAGGCCACAGATTGCAATTCCCTGTGTCCCACCCAATTACTCCCTGACCTCCTTTCCTCACCCCCTCAGCACCCTCCGCAATGCTAGGTATGTTCTCTCCCTCTGCAGGTCCAACACACCATTGCGGTCTTTCCTTCTTCTCTTATATCTCCCATTTATGAGTGAGGACATGCAATATTTTTCCCTCTGTGCCTGGCTTATTTCACTTAACATGATTTTTTCCAAGCTCGTCCATAACAACAATAATTTCTAAAGCCTTCCTAGATGATTCAGATGTACAGCCAGGGTTGAGAAATGCTCTTTTAGTTCTTCTACAGCAGAGGTTGGTAAGTTTTTTTCTGAAAAGGGCTGACAATAAAAATTTCAGGCTTTGAGGGCCATACAGTATCTGTTACAATTACTCAGCTCTTTCTCTGCAGCGTGGACAATTCATAAATAAATGGATTTGGCTGTGTTCCAATAAAACTTTACTTACAAAATAAGGCATAGGCTGTATTCGGCCCCAGGATAGTAGTCTGCTGATCCTTGTTGTATAGAGTGGCTTCATTACTTGGATGAGGCATTTAAATCTCCTTCCTTGTCTGGTATTTAGAGGGACCATCTGTTATGTTTGCTGCTCATTGTCCATTCTCACCTTTTCTAGTGAAATCACCTTGAAATATCCTTTTGGAAACCTCCCATGTTTTAGTTTGGGTTTCTCAAAAAGTATGCCATAAGACAAGAATTTCACTCAGGCAACTTCACTGAGACAGGTGGAGAGCACACAGCAAATGGTGAATTAGCCAGCAAGTGACCGCTGTAGGTGACTAGAGTTTAAGATCACTGTGGAAATTTAGGGAGTCAGCATAGACACATACTTCAGAGTTAACCCATAGGAAGGGCAAAGGAACTGGGATATTTATGTGCCAACTCCAGTGAGTCACTGATTGAGAGCACTTCTTAGATGGCACTACATTAATTCCACGATGCTTTCATCCTACTTTGCAGGTGGAAAAGAGGGCATTAGAAGCAAAACAAAACTCTTGGGCAAAAATGTGCTGAGCTTTAGGTGGAAGCCAGGCAGCCGGATAGTAAGTAGTCTGCTGATCCTTGTTGTATAGAGTGGCTTCATTACTTGGATGAGGCATTTAAATCTCCTTCCTTGTCTGGTATTTAGAGGGACCATCTGTTATGTTTGCTGCTCATTGTCCATTCTCACCTTTTCTAGTGAAATCACCTTGAAATATCCTTTTGGAAACCTCCCATGTTTTAGTTTGGGTTTCTCAAAAAGTATGCCATAAGACAAGAATTTCACTCAGGCAACTTCACTGAGACAGGTGGAGAGCACACAGCAAATGGTGAATTAGCCAGCAAGTGACCGCTGTAGGTGACTAGAGTTTAAGATCACTGTGGAAATTTAGGGAGTCAGCATAGACACATACTTCAGAGTTAACCCATAGGAAGGGCAAAGGAACTGGGATATTTATGTGCCAACTCCAGTGAGTCACTGATTGAGAGCACTTCTTAGATGGCACTACATTAATTCCACGATGCTTTCGTCCTACTTTGCAGGTGGAAAAGAAGGCATTAGAAGCAAAACAAAACTCTTGGGCAAAAATGTGCTGAGCTTTAGGTGGAAGCCAGGCAGCCGTGTACTGGGTGGTAGGCAAGGGAACATGGGGGTGCATCAACAGTGTCTGTTCTAGTCCATCCCAAACTTGGGGTGTTACACCCCTGCCACAGATTGTTTTGCATAGGCCACATGACCCAATCAGAGCCAGCAGGTGGCTATGAGACCTTTGCAGGAGTTTCTGGAAATGAGGCAGGTGCTCTTCCTGGGCTTGATGCTTGAACTGTTTGGCAGGAGCTTGACTGCCTAGTTGGCATCATGAGTAAACTAAGGGGAAGACAGGAGACAAGGGTCAAACTGCATCCTGGTGAGAGTTTGAGTCCCAGGCAGGTGTCTATGAAGCCAGGATGAATCCCGGACTTTGAGTCCATAAGCCAGTAAATTTTTTTTGTGCTTAAGTCAATTTGGGCTGGGGTTTTTGTCACATGCAACCTGAAAAGTTCTAGTTGATATATTTTTCAACCTTGTGGCAATAAAGCCTGGTTATTCCTAAGCTGGCCAGGAATTAATTTTGGAATACCTCTGCCAGGCTTTATCTGTGAGGGAGAATTCTGGTAGCCACACATCAAAATATTCTTCATGTGTCCCGAACCTCCATCCTCTTTGTATCTTCTAGCAGCAGCTCTTCACGCTGTGTGTGCACATAGGCATGGCCTGGGGAACAGTGCCTGGGCATGGCAGATTGTGGGTGGGAGACATCAGTCCTGACCTCTCACTGTTCTCTTTCTCTGTTTCTCATTCCAACTCCACAGAGTCCAGCTGGAAGTGAGTATCACGGGTCTGGGTAGATGGTATTTGCTTTAACAGTTATGTTCTGTGTGCATTGATGATGTAGGTTTGCTTTCTCCTGCAGTGAGCAGAGATGGTGGTATTCACCCAACTCATCCTCTGTNTGTACTGGGTGGTAGGCAAGGGAACATGGGGGTGCATCAACAGTGTCTGTTCTAGTCCATCCCAAACTTGGGGTGTTACACCCCTGCCACAGATTGTTTTGCATAGGCCACATGACCCAATCAGAGCCAGCAGGTGGCTATGAGACCTTTGCAGGAGTTTCTGGAAATGAGGCAGGTGCTCTTCCTGGGCTTGATGCTTGAACTGTTTGGCAGGAGCTTGACTGCCTAGTTGGCATCATGAGTAAACTAAGGGGAAGACAGGAGACAAGGGTCAAACTGCATCCTGGTGAGAGTTTGAGTCCCAGGCAGGTGTCTATGAAGCCAGGATGAATCCCGGACTTTGAGTCCATAAGCCAGTAAATTTTTTTTGTGCTTAAGTCAATTTGGGCTGGGGTTTTTGTCACATGCAACCTGAAAAGTTCTAGTTGATATATTTTTCAACCTTGTGGCAATAAAGCCTGGTTATTCCTAAGCTGGCCAGGAATTAATTTTGGAATACCTCTGCCAGGCTTTATCTGTGAGGGAGAATTCTGGTAGCCACACATCAAAATATTCATCATGTGTCCCGAACCTCCATCCTCTTTGTATCTTCTAGCAGCAGCTCTTCATGCTGTGTGTGCACATAGGCATGGTCTGGGGAACAGTGCCTGGGCATGGCAGATTTTGGGTGGGAGACATCAGTCCTGACCTCTCACTGTTCTCTTTCTCTCTTTCTCATTCCAACTCCACAGGGTCCAGCTGGAAGTGAGTAACACGGGTCTGGGTAGATGGTATTTGCTTTAACAGTTATGTTCTGTGTGCATTGATGAGGTAGGTTTGCTTTCTCCTGCAGTGAGCAGAGATGGTGGTATTCACCCAACTCATCCTCTGTCCCCGTGTTCCCCAGCCCCCTTGCAATTTGATGGGGCGACAGGGCTCCTGCTGGCCAACAGGCTATACAGAGAAGTGTCACATATCACTTCTAGGCCTTTGCTTAGAAGAGATTGCCTGAGACCTTCCCACTGTCTGTGCTTTGGTTCTGGCAACCAAGAAGACCATGTGTTCCTGATATTACAGCTACAAGATGCCTCCATCAGTCTGGGTCTCTGAAGGACTGCTTGGAACAGAGCCGCCTACTATTTAAACCATGTAGAATTAAGAAGAAAATTTTTGTTGTGTAAGGCCCCTGAGATCTTGGGTTGTTTGTGGCCTCTGCATAGTGTAGCCCATCCTGACTAATACACATAATAGCCTGAGGTTTCCTTATAAAAAAAGGACAGAAAAAAGAGCCGGAATAGTCTGAATGAAGAAAAAGTAAGTTAGTAACAATAAATTTGGCGTGGGGATAAAGCACATATCACAAGGGTGTTGAGCATAATGAAAGTTGAGAAAGGCTAGGCTAATGACATAGCATGACTTCCAGGGTGGGGAAGATGGGGAACTCTTAGAGTGAATGTCCCATAAAACAGTGGCGGCAAACATCCTGGGAAAGATAAGGAAGAACTAAGAATGCAGTCGGGCAGCTGAACACAGGAGCACGCATGAGAATACAAGTCTTACCATAGCTAAGGGCACGATGCCCACCAGGTCCTTCTGGCTGATGAAGATCTCAGACACAGCGATGTCTGTGGTCCCTTTCCGTGGGTATTCCACCTGCCATGTGATGGGCTGAGTCCCCGAGAGGCTGCTGAAGCTGGCTATTTCAAAGTTCATCTGCACAACCTCATTGAATAAACTGCTGCTTCTGGAAAGGAGCAAGAGAAAAAGGCTTTAAGCGGACTTTTTTCAGAGGATTCTTCTCTCTCTCTCTGCCCATCTCCTGCAATTGTACCCAGAATATAAGGACAAAGGAAATGCCTTTCAGGGACAGCTCAGGGTTTTGTGGGGCACCTGGGATGCAAACCAGCTACAAGTTAGTTCCTGGGCAGCTGGGACAGTGAAACATCCACACATCAAGGATCTGGGCAGAGTCTTAAACACTGAGCATTAATCAGTACATGTATTGATTATGCCCTTGGATTGGGTTTTACCACCTCTTCAGATAAAGAGTTAATCCAGCTTGTCATACTTGCAGTATGAACTCAATGACCTTTGAACAAAACGAACCCCCAGTGCGTTCAATTTCAGGGTGTGGCAGAGGCTGTGGGCCGCTCACTCACTGTCACCTTCAACCCCCTCGTAGCTGATTCCCCTCCACTGTCGGGGCTTGCAGCATACACGGCATTCTCAGGCTCCCTTGCCAGTAGATGCTGAATTGAAGCAGAATTGCCACCAGGCTGACCCTCTCATCTGGGGCATAGATGTAGAAGTGGTTTATGAAGGGAGTTGTGGTTTCCTAGGGGCACAGTAGTCCTGGTATTTCTGGGGCAGCTGTGGGGTGCTCCTGGCATACAGGTCCTCATATCATCACACCAAGCAGCTGGCAGTGGTGTTCCTACTCCAGGAGTTCTCTGTTGGATGTTTTTCTTGTCTGTGTCTTCTCTGGCTGCCCTGTCCCTGGCTGTGTAGTAAATAAATTCAACTCAATGCCTCTCCTAGAGAATCTTTGAATTGCCTAATATCCTCTAACAAAGACTCCTCTGCCTCAGACTGCTTAGCCAGAGGGACGCTGTTGTCTGCACTTAGGAATTCTGACCAATACCGTACCTTTGAAGTGGGCCCAGATATATGTATTTTCCACAAGCTTGTCCCAGTGAACTTCGGGAGCTACTGACAGTCCAAATTCTTCATTTTTTAGATGATGAAATAAAAGTCCAGAGAGGGAAAACGGCTTGCCCTCAACCACGCAGCTAGTTAGTGCAGAGTCAACATGAAATGTAGCACCTCCTATGTTTTAGTTTGATGCCTTTACAGCATCCTCCCCTAAGATAGCTGGAGGTCAAATACAACATTCCAAGGCACCAGAAGAGTTTCTGTAGGACAGGAAACAGCAAACTGTGTCCTGTGAACCAAACCCAGCCAGCTGTCTGTGTTTGTAAATAACATTTTATTGAATCCCAGACCTGCTCATTTGTTTACGTTTTGTCTATGGATGCTTTTGTGTTGCAAGAGCATGGCTGAATAACTGCATCAAGCAATGCATAGCCCGCAAAACTGAAAATATTTACTATTTAGACCTTCACAAATAAAGTGTGCCAGTACCTGCTGTAGGAGGCCAGAGAAGGGGAAGTTGGTCAGGACTTCTAGAGCTGTTGAGTCAGTAGAACTGAAACTAGTAGAATAAGAAGGAAGGGCGTTCCAGACATAAAGCTGAGTTTGTAGGTTGGGCCAAGGTTCTGGTGAGCCCTGATAGCCAGCCTCAGGTGCCCCCAGTGTCCCTCTCCCACATGCTCAGGATGCTGTAAGTGGTCAACAGTGAGCAGTATCTCAGGCTGGCATCCCCAGAAGGCTACATGTTTTCTGGCAAATTGAAGGAGATTTTTCATAGTACGTCAAGAAAGAAACACCAGATATGCTTAAGAACTGCATCCCAAACATGTGTTGGTACCAATGTGGAGATTGATGGGGAAACCCTTCCCTTTACTGGGGTGTTAATCAGTTACAGATGTACCCGCTCAAACTTTAGGGCTGGCTCAATAGCCAGAATGCTAATTCTCCACCCTTCACTCTTAGCCCCACTCCATGTCTGGGGCAAGAAGTAACATGAAGGTTACTACCCCAACCAAAGCACTGAGACTGTGAATCTTCCTTAAGTTCTCTGGGTGAAAAGTGGGGCCCAGAGAATCATGATTTATGAGATACTAGAGATCTCACTAGGAGGAAAAATAAATCCAAGGTCTGGAATATCAAGAAATGGGCTGCAAATCTCAAGAGTGAATTACTGGTCTTGGAAAACGATGGAGAGGCATCTGCAGTCTGGAGCATCTCCAAACTAAGAAGTGTGTTTCTGGTCCAACAGCCAAAGCCCACCAGGATCTGAGCCTGCTCAACTGAACATTCAGGAAATTCTCCCAGTGTACTCTGAGCCAGCCTCTCTCCTCACTGGGCCACACACTCTCTTTCATTTCAGGAGGCTTAATCCTGTCCTTTAAGCAAGAACACCTGGACTTGGCACCTAGTTATCTGCAACAGAGCTGGGTACAGTTAGGCCCATTGGAGATATCCGATAGCTGCTTGGCTTCTTGATTGACTCTACTCAGCAAAATATTCACTCCCTTTACTCCTGAAAGGGGCAAGAATCCAACCATCCAATGGTTTCCTCTTAGTCCTAAAGAGATGCCTGAAATGGCATGATGCTGCAGAGTTTGCAATGGGCATTCAACATACACCGGTCTTCTCTGTCTTACAAAATTCTTTTATGAGCATCTCAACAGCTCACATTGTCTAAGACTAACTTGCATTATCTAGCAGATTGAAATAATGGCATTCCCATTGTACAGGGAAGAAACTGGCGTGCAAAAGAGGCCAGCGCAATGTCTCATACTCCAGCTGCGTCCTCCTCTATGGCAATTATGCTAAAGAGGGGATTAAGAATAGCATTACACTGGACAAGATAAAAGAGAAGGGGTATTTTTCTTTCTGGCTTTGAAAGACATGGTGCTATATGATTTTTGTGAAAAATGGGGTTACCTCCCTGAGGTGTTTGCACCAGTTAAGGTAAGAATGAAATTAACATGCTATTGTTTATGAAACACTATGTACCAGGCACCAGACTAGGTTCCATACATACATTACTCCAAATCTCCCAAAAAACCTCAAGGTGGTTATTAAGGCTCCCATTTTACAAAAGTGCCAGAGCAGAGACTCTTTTGTACCTCTGCAGCCAGGAAATGTGTTTTATCTTCCACCAACGATAGAAAGGAATAACTCAGCAGGAGCCCATTTGAAACATTTTGCAGCAACCCTCTCAGACTCCCACACTTATGAGCCAACTAACTTAATCGTTGTTTCAAAATAGAAAACAAAACAAAACAAACCCCACAAATTTCACAATTGGAGGAAAACTCCAGCTTTCCAAGAGCTGTGCAGAGTGACCAGGGAAAGCTCTCTGGTGCATCGCGGGCATGTGACTGTTCAGAACGTTGACATCAGTTTCTCAGGGAGCTGGAGACCTCAGATGAAGAGCAGAAACTACCCTGTGTCCGTAGGGATCCCTCTAATGTGTGTGAGAGAAAAGGCCAGACAAAGCTGACCTGACTGAGAAATGAGTCCCCAGGGAACTTCAGGATTAAACATTCTGACTCAAGACAAGGAATTCCTTTGGGAAGAGAGAGAATCAACTCCCTTATTTGTTAACTTTTGTACATTCATGTCACTTCCTACCCCTCCTTCATCCCCACACAGGCTTTGTCATCTTCATCTCTAAAAAGTGTATAGTGTGCTATATCTAAATTAAAGGGAGTGAAACTGTATTTTGAAACTTGATACTTTTGAGGAGGTGAGTGGAGAGAGCTCTTTGGTGCCTGTGGTTCATCCCTACTTCCTTCCTGCTGACAGCTGCCTTACGGGAAGGCAGGCCAGTGGTGCTGGAAATATTTTTTCTGGAGAACTTGGGAATCTAGGTTTTTCTCTAAAATCCATGGATTTTTACATATAAGAACCTTTTAGCCATGATGTAGCTCAGACAACATCTCTGCTGGCTCTCAGTTTGCCATCTCTGGCTTAGAAAAACAGTTCCCTCCAGAACGTGTATGTTCAGGAGGAAGTATGTCATAGAAGTGCCAGGACTGAGGTGGAAGATGCATGTCCTCATGATGATGCAGTGTGGTCTCCTTTTCCTTCATACACCAAGGGGGTGAGACAGTGATGGCCATGGGGTTGGAGACAGTCCCTAACACCAGCCCTGCCCCCCAGTGAGAGCAGCTCCAATCTGCTCTGTTGTAAATATTGGGCCTCCAAGAAGCATTTCATTCAGAGAACAAAAAAGAAAAGAAATGAAAGAAGAAGTAGAATGAAGGAGAAAAGAGGGAAGGAAGGAGATGAGAGAGGGATGGAGGGAGAGAGGAACTTAGGGGTTAGAATATAAGAATAAGAATATAAGAATATAAGACTATAACCCATGGCTCTTTACGTGGAACACAGTGAGTGTCAGAACACATGCTGTGGGAATTCCAGACTTCCAGAGTTGAAATCATGGCTTCTCTAGTTATTGGCTGGATGGTGGTGGCCAATTCTGCCTCATTTTTCCTATTTGTAAGATGAGGTTGGTAATTCCTCCCATTTCATAGAGGTGATATGAACAAATAAGTGTAAAGCACTTAGAAAAGAGGTTGGCATCAGGAAGCATAAATGCATGTTAGCTGCCCCAGCTTTTGGCAGGACTTGACTCCAAGTTTATGCTCAGTGACTTTAGGGTTGACTGCCTATAAAGCCACCATTAAGACACATTCTTTTATGGCTGAGTTCTCAGGAGCTCCCTGAGAACAAGACACAGTAGTGATTTGGACTCTGCCATTCATTGGGATCATTACGATTTGTATACACTGCATTTACTAAGTACCTATCTCTGTCAGACACAATGCCACGATGCACATTATGCTGACAGATGGAGATCAGGAAAAGAAGCAATCTGTCTGCAATTCTGTCTGTAGTCAGTGCCTTTCCACTGTGTCTGAGCAGACTGAAATCTTTGCTAAGACTTTGCCTTGAGGGGGCCAACAGCCCTCCACACCAGCTCATATGGGGCTTGTGATGCTGTTGAAGTAATAAAGTGAAGAATTTAAACACTTAAGTGACTCCAGAGAGCAACCAAGAACCATCACTTGCTAAATCAATAGCATAGATGTATTGCAGTAACTCTAGAAA